TACTGTGAAAGCTATGACTAAAAGCAGATGGCAAAGACTAGTAACCAGCATTGCCTGTTGCTTTCTTGCATCTGGTATTCCCCCATTACTGACTTACCAAGCCATGTTCCACACTGTGTTTCTGTGTGTGGAGGCTGCCATCTTGGTAGGGAGCAGGGCTTTGCTTCCTTATGTCAGGGACACCTTGTTTCTGATGGGGCTATAGTCAAGCAGCAGGGAGTTTCAGCAAGAACACCTCCATAGAATAAATGAAGTAAAAAGAGGTTAGGTTCTCATGTACAGCTTCCTCTCTAGCAAGAACAGCAAGGAACACAACAGTGGAAGCAAAAAAATCAGACAAACAGTCAGAGGCAACAGTGCCTTAGTTGGCCTCACATTGCCAATATACAATACAGCTATGAAGTTCAAGGCACAGGAAAGAAAATGCTATTTTGCAGGAGGAACTGAAGGCAGAATACGAAAATATTTTCAGGATACTTCTTAAGCAGAATTTCCATATGATTTTTTTTATATTGCTGCTAAATACCTCAACTCTTCTCTCAACTTTTTGAACTTCAGTGAAGTCCGAATAGCAACCTTATTAATTCATTCTTTCATTTTCTGATCTGGTTTTTAAAAGAAAGATCGGCTCATGATTAGCACAGTATAAAGAGGTAGATCTGAACCGCCATTTTTTGCATAATCCCAATGCTTATCATCAGAAAGAAAACCCAAAATCCATCCATTGATAAACCTAGTTACTTAGAGAATCCCCAATCCATTACACTATTCTGTTGCACATGCAGTACATATGTTCAGCAGCTATGAAAAACAAATGTTGTACCAATGTATTTTTCCCATGGATACAGCCATATTTTGTCAAGACATATAGGGCTCCCATGCATTGGCCCCAGAGGCTTTTCCAAAGCTTGGTATGTCCTTGTGAAAAAGTCATTGGGTGGGGCCATTTTTCTGCCAACACAGATACTTTTTTTTCAACCTTTTCATTTAGAAGGTCCAGATCTTAACTAAAAGTTCTCATTTCCCATCTATGTGCTAAACAAATTTTGCATGCATGATCAGACCTAATTGGCAGCCCAACAGTCAACAAACTATGGGCTGACTACGCAGCTACAAAGTGCAAGGCAGTGGCTTAGTGTTGTCAAACTGAAACAGGAAGTGCCACTAATGGCAGGATCTCCAGCTAGGAACTTTTGCCACAAACTGCCAAAAAATGATTTTCTTAAAATACTACATACAATAGGGCATTATGCTAAACATACTGAAACTATTTTAGGTTTACATAAACTTTAAATACCTGAATACAGAATTGCATCAACATTGTGTGTATTTCTTGAACCCAAAGTATTATATGTATTTCATTATATTAGTAGGACATGCCACACTGGTCTTGCATGCTTTACCGAAACACTAATTATGGCCTGTTTATGTTAGTTATGATGGTTAGTGGGCTAGGATGTCAACGTCGGATAGAGAAGGACCACCGATCACCTTGACTATTTTGGACCATATTACATGCTTTATTTCAGCAATCACAATAATTAAAAACATCTCAAATTATTATACAATTACAAAACAGGTACAGATCCTTTGGTTTCAGTTTAAACCCCATGGTATCGTGGTCTAGTTAGAGACTGGACAAAGGTTGAAAATAAAGAGAGAAAAAAGGGAGGTCAAGAAGAAGAAACGGAGAAGACAAAGAGGACTAAGCAAAACAAGAAGGTGGGAATCACAACAAACACAGACAGTACCTCATGATCTTGTGTTCACGGGAAAGGGGGTTTAGAAAGATAGAAAAAGGGAAAGAAGTTTTTAAATAGCACCTTAAAATCCTCAAGTGGAAGCCTAGTGGGCGGATAAATATGGAAAATAGATCCTATCTATAGCACCAAAAAACTGAAGCTACTGTGGGGAAGAATGTCAAAGAAGCATTGAGACCTTAGCACCAATGGAATGGGACATGACAGTGAGGTAGTCTCAGAAAAAAAAAACAAAAAAAAAAACATCAAACACTCTACACTGTTCACCCTTCTAACACTGGAGGAGCCTCAGTGATCTGTTTGACCTTCAGTGTGACAAGGATGAAACACAGCATGGAGGAGGGCCTGAGGGACAATGGAATTAGGAAATGGAAGGAGACACTCACACCGAGAGGAACAAAAACCTTTCAAGATTCCAAAACACTCTCCACACACCTTCAATTTTCATTTTTTTTCATATTTATTTTTTTTGCCACCTGAACAAATGAAAACAAAAAAAACAAACTTTTTTTTTTATATAAAAAAAAAAAAAGGTGCATTACATGAAATGATTTGGTTTACTCCTCTTCGACTCTGGGAACTGTAGGTTCATCGACCCTGCATTCTCATCATCTCAAAACCGGGGCAGTCTTATTTAGGACATTCCCATTTTTTTTTCTCCATGGGGGCATCTTCAAGGTCATAGGAAGGCCAATTCATGTAAGCAGGGGGCACAGGTAATGGGAGAGGTGAAAAGTCTCCATCCCGTGAACACAAACACGGGCTTTTGGTCTGTCCTTGGAGAGATGTTCTTCAAAGCATGTCAATCTGTTTTTTTCGTGTAATGCTTACGGAAACAAGAAAAGTTTTAGAGATGAGAGGAACAACAATTTCAAGTCCGCATGAGAAATTATCCTGTCCTAGTATTTGTCTGTTGTTTTTTACACGAAGCAGACTGGTCCGATCTCAGCTCCGAATTCCTGGTCTGGAGCTCCAATATCCATGGGTGCCACATCTGTAATGGGCAGTCTTGATGTCTTTGATGTCTTGTATTCAATGACTGTCTTGCCCCATTGTCCTGTGTGTTGCTGTAGAAGGAAAATGGACCATTAGGGCAATGTGATACTGTAGCAACCAAGCAAAGCAGCGTAGAGGGCTAGGGCATGTATTAATGTCTCTTAATTATCCATGCTAAATACTTGAGAATGAATAAAATATTATTGGTTTATTAGATATTGGTTAAAGAATATGTAAACCCAACATTTCACTGATACGTTCCTGCTGTACCATGTACTTGTATGAAAAGGTAGCGTGTTCTCTTTGCATTGCTTTGTGTGAAATCCCTGGTATTCCTGCAAGTCCCTTTGCTTTCCTATGAAAAACTGACCACACTAGGCAGGAGAGCATATCATAGTTAGTTTTCTAGCTGTGCTGGAAACTCAGCCTGCTCTCCTCCAATGATCAGACTTCTTCACATAGCCATTCACTGGGATGATCAGTGTATTGCTGTTTCTCCTCCTCCAGCTCTATGAGCACTTTATGCAGCTGAGAACAGAGGGTGCGTGATCATTTATATAAAAAAAGGGCAAGACCCTGTCTATAGAAAGAGGGGTACTACATGCTGACCTTTCAACCAGTCTGGTTACTTTCTTTATTCCAGTTTGCTTTTTATTTCTTTTTTCTTACTTTCTTACTCAGTTATTTATTTAGATTTTTTTTTTTACAAAATGTTCCTATCTAACCTGGCAAAATCTGGTGGCATGTGAAACTTGTCATCAAGAGGGACCTTTCATTAAAGGTTATATAGCATATTTTTTGTTTTTGATAAAGCATGGGAGGATTAAAACCTTCTTTGGTTTTAATTTATTTCTCTCTCTGTTTCCACTAGTGCGATTTCCCCCTTAATGATGGCAAATACAGCAATACAAATGCCTTTTTTTAGTAAAGTGGGTAAAAGTAAGAGAGTTATTCTTGCTCTCAGTACCTTCCTGTCTAGGTGTCATGTCTTGTCCTGGTGTCACAAGGACAGAAAGTGATAGCAAATCTTCCCAATTAAGTCACAGACAGGAATGAAAATCAGACAAAAAAAATCTAAACCCCCACTATTCTTCTCAAAACAATATATAGAAATCTAGTCAAGTAAATAAGTATCCTACCGTGCAACCATCTTCGATGACACTGTATGTGAAGCGGCTGTTACCCTCGGCTCTGATTTCAATCTCGTTGGAACCTTGCAGGAGCAGGGCCTTCTTTAGGTTGCCAGTTTCTTGGTCCATGTAAGCCACGCTGTTCTTGCAGTGGTAGGTGATGTTCTGGGAAGCTTCAGTGGCCATAAGGCGGAGGAAGGTGAGTTGGATGTTAACATCAGCTGGGTCACATCCCTCACTGCCATATTCGAACTGGGAACAAAGTAAAATGATGACACAATTATGGACAATTGTAAGGTGCTCATTCTTGTTTCTAAGAAATGGTGAACTTCCAGCATAATTTGCATTTTGCAGTGAATCTGTGGAAAAACCAAGGATGCAATGATACATTTATTACAGACTTTCCTCACCTGGAAGCCATCGCTCATTGTCTCGCCAAACCAGACATGCTTCTTCTCACGTTGGTTCTTGCTGGTGTGCCAGTTCTTCTGAGCAATAGTGGGCTGAGTGGGGTATACACAGGTTTCTCCAGTTTCCATGTTGCAGAAGACCTTGATGGCATCAAGTGTGCATCCCTGGTTGGGGTCAATCCAGTATTCACCTAGAAAGAGGAAATCCATATTAGATAAGAAAGAAGACAAGAAAATGAAGTGGAAAAGGTTATAGAGGTGTGTCAATCCCCAATATTTACCGCTCTTCCAGTCAGAGTGGCACATCTTCAGGTCGCGGCAAGTGCGGGCTGGGTTCTTTCTGGTACCCTCGGGACTGCGGATATTCTCAATTTGTTTGCTCAGGCTCTTGAGGGTGGTGTCTACCTCCATATCACGATCGCGCATGGCATTGGCATCATCAGCACGGTAATGTCTGTCAGATTTCTCCTGAGGAGGCTGGGGCATGAAGCTGAAATCAAATCCACCACTTGGGGGGCCAGGAGGACCTGGGGGACCAGGAGGTCCGGGAGGACCCTAGAAGTTATAATAGGCAGAGTCATCAAATATGATATGAATATAAGAAAAACAACAAAAGCTGAATCATTAGAAATTAATAAAGTCCATCATGGAGCAAGTTCTAAAGAACAGAAGCTCCATGGACGGGTCAAAATGATTTAAAAGCTTCATATGGGTAAGGATAATAAGTAAATAATTATACTCACAGCAGGGCCAACATCACCAGTACGACCACGAGGACCAGGTGGGCCGATGGGACCAGGCAGACCATTAGCACCATCTTTACCAGGGCTGCCAGAAGATCCAGGAGGACCCTATTGTAAACACATTTCATAATAAGGCACTGATGCTCAAGGCCTCAGAATAAATAATTTCAGAAACAGTTATTTTTCTTTGTATTGAAAGAGAAAATAAGAAAACACTTACTCTTGGACCACCGGGACCAGAAGCACCAGATGGACCTTGTTCACCAGAGTGGCCCTGAAATGCACAAAGGTTATTAGTACTTGGAAACAATGTATCAGGAAGAAGAAAGTGCAAAGAAAACTGTATGGCTTCCAAACAGTAGTGGAACTAACAATTTCTGGACAGATTAGCTAAGGATATGTTTCCTAAGTAATATTACATTTCAAAAGGCTATTACCACTAAAAAGTGTTAATACAATAAAAAAGGTTATTGATGGCATTATACTGCACTATGCTAAAAGAGTATTTCAAAAGGCACATAAAGAATATAAAGTAAAGTAGGTAGACATTGTGTCACGTATTACGTACAGGGGGACCGGGTGGGCCGGGAAGACCGTTGAATCCTCTGTGTCCCTTCATGCCTCTTTCTCCTTGTTCTCCAGCTTCACCCTTGTCACCACGAGGACCTGCAGGTCCCTATACAAAAAAAAATATATGTTTATGGTAAGAATAAAGTATCAAGTCTTTTGTACAAAATACAGGTTCTTCAGATGAAAAGTCTACTTACAGAAGGACCACGAGAACCAGCAGGACCAGAGGGGCCAGCAGGACCAGCAGGACCCTAAGAAAGAAATAGAAACAAGTTAAAGCTATTCTTAGCTAGTCAGTCTCCATTAGAAACTAAAACCTTAACAGAATACACCAATGTCTGGGCATAAATGTGGCTTGGTGGTTAGCATTGTTGCTTGAGTTTGCATGCAACTTGTATGTTCTCTGTGGGTTTTCTTTGGGTACTCTGGTTTCCTCCCAAAAAATATATTGGTAGGTTAACTTGTTGCCCTCACAAACTGACAAATAATGGGTTGGTTACTGTGGTAGTGACATTCATTTGTAAGTTCCTTTAGAAGCAGTGGTAAATGTACAGTAAATAGATGAGTGTTATCTGAAAAGTGTCAATGCTTTAAATAATGGAATTGGTAAATGAAGAAATTCATGTTGATGTCCTTGGTATGTCCTGATACCAAGAGTTTTTTAATACAGCTAGCAAAGTGTGATATATCCCACCTGAAAACAATAGATGTTAGGGTCAGTTTTGTAGTGAAAGCTAATGCATCAAATGCACAATTAAGATTGGTCACTCATCTAATTATTGAAATTTAAGTAAATGGTGTGGTAATGTCAATAGTTTTTGACATGTGGATTGGCAGTACTAAATTAAAATGTAGAGTTCTCAGGGTCAACTACAAAATCTTGATGCCCAATTATTATGTTCTAACCAAAGACTAAATTTTTGTCAGCAGAGTCTGAGACAAAAAATATGGTATACTCACAGTCTCACCACGGTCGCCGTTCTTTCCAGCAGGGCCAGCTGGGCCGGGAGCACCGGGGGCACCAGGAGCACCAGGGGGACCAGCAGGTCCACCTTCACCACGATCACCCTAAGGTATTGAGAATAATGGGGTTCAGTTGAAGCATTGTCCGAAATAAAATCACAGCTAACCTAAATCTAAGAGAAGGAAGGTGGTTTAGATAAAACAGTTTACCTTAGGACCACCAGAACCATCACGACCAGGAGAACCTTCAGAACCAGGAGATCCCTAAAGACAAACCACAAGGGAAACATAAGTGCCTTTAAACCAACTTTGGCATTTTTAGAAAGAGTCTAGCCAAAAAAGAAGCAATGTGATGTCATTATATGCATAGGAGTCCCTTATAAAACCATTGTATTAAATTATGTGTTATGATGAGACCAGGGCCCAGATAAGGGGCGGGCAGGAGGGGCAGCTGGCCGGGGCACAGTGGTAGGGCTGGCGCCCCCTCGCCACATGGTAGCTCTAGATCGGTGGCTAGCAACCGGCAGGCCGTAGCTTCATGCCTCTTCTGACAACTACTGCTGTCACGCTGTGCACCACCATCCACCCACGGCTAACACAAAAACAAACCATGCATGTGCAGCTACTGTCTAGCCACAAGAAAGCAAGTGATTGGCCCTGCAAAGGTAGTGCACACTCCATGCCAACCATGGACAGCCAAAGCAAGGGGGCAAAGAATGGGGCAAGGTGATACACCCATTCTACAGCATGTATTAGGAGGGGGTTGCAGTTCTGTATCCTTGCCCTGAGCACTGGGCGAACCTGTTGCAGTACTGGATGGGGCCCTAAAACAAAGCAATTAAGTGACCTCCTGACTCTTTAATTTCCATCTCAGATGCAATTCCTTTAGTTATAGAGAATGCTAATTGCTTTCATAGAAACTGCATACACGTTCCTCAACTAGATATACATAATTTTTTATCTAAATGGCCTTCCTGTGCTTTTTGGTCCAAAGCAGTTGTGGGGATGATCTTAGCAGGAGGAAACCTGTCCTGGCACATATCAGAAAAGAGGAAACTCCTATATCTTCACTGTAGTTGTTTTCTTTGACGTCTTGGACCTACTCAGCTGTAAAATGGGGAGGAGGAGGATTGACCTTTAGGAGGTCTTAACAATTGTTAATGTATATTTTTGAATGTGCATATACTGTCATTGTATGACCTTACAGTTAGTTTAAGTTTATGGTCTTCCAATGCTTAAACTATTATCCAAAAACACTTACTTCACGACCTGCTTCACCGGGAGGTCCAGCTAAGCCTGGTGGGCCAGAAGGACCGGGAGGACCACGTTCACCGCTTGGGCCAGAAGGACCTTGTTTGCCAGGTTCACCCTAAAGTGTTGTAAGATAGGACAAAATCAAAACACAATGAAAAAAAATACTATAACTTCCAAGATGCCATGTTACTAAATCATATAATAGAAAGTAAATATTTATAGGTAGGAATGTATAATGTTGACTGTAAAGATACACTTGAAATACGGAGTCTAAAGAGATTATCTGTCCTTGTGATTTTATATTAAATGAAATACCATTTTGGTACAGAATTGGCAGATACCCATTTGACAGAGTTTACCAATAGTTGTTGTAAATGTGCCACTGTAAAATGTGTTGTGTATGAAATATTATTAGCAGACTATACAGGGAACCATGTGTCTTGTAGAGGTTTCACTATGTGGCCTACTGAAAAGTTGAACATTCTAAAATTTTACGCTTTTGTGTATAAATTCCAAGGTTGTACTCACAGTGGGGCCTGGAAGACCTGAGAAGCCTCTTTCTCCTCTCTGTCCGGGAAGACCAACTGTACCACGGGTTCCAGCAATACCTTGGGGTCCAGGAATACCAGGAGCACCCTACAGAATAGATATATCAAGAAAATAAATGATCTGCTGTGGTTTTATTGGAAATACCACATTGGGAAGGATCATTTGGCCATATCTATTAAGTAATAATTAATAAATAAAGCTAGTTAATAATTACTAAAGAGGTCTTGAATAGTTTTCAGGTACAAATATGGCTAGATAAGAGTTAAAGCTGCACTTACAGCAGGGCCATCGCTACCAGGAGATCCTTTCTCGCCAGAGGGTCCGGGAGGTCCACCAGCACCAGGTTCACCAGGACGTCCAGCAGGGCCAGTCTCACCACGAGGTCCTTTCTGTCCTTCCTTTCCAGATGGGCCAGAAGGTCCAGGAGGTCCAGCATTGCCCTAAAGAGTAACCAAAGACTGAGTATGAAGGCACCAAAGTGGCATTGGACATAGCCAGCTGCATATCTCTTCACATATCCTAGTTAGTCGTAGAAGAATAATGGGCTTTTCGAATAGGAACTTGCAAACACAACTTAGAAGACTAGTTTGGCAGCATGGAGGGTCAGTAATGACTTTGTAAGCCATTACTAGTTTAAACTATGGCTAGTAGTTATTGCTTGCCGATTGCAAAGCCTGATAACTGCAAGAGGCATAAGTGGCAAAATAATCCACCTAGTACGGCTTTACAGCAGCATGGAGGTTCAGTAATGACTTTTTTGCCATCCAGTGGCAAAGTGTTGATTTTTACAAACATTAATTAAAAATACATAAGTCTATATATACTTACAGAGGGGCCAGGGGGTCCAACACGTCCAGCAGCACCAGGGAAACCAGTAGCACCCTAAGGATGAAAGATATATGGGGTGATTATTCTTCTGTTCAATTAAGTCAGCTGGATTATGTTTGGACTTGTCTGCTGATATAACATATTTATTATGTATGCCATTTAATACAATGTAAGTCATTAAACCAGCAAGTCCAGGGATAGCCTACATTAATATGGGGTTATGGGTAAAATGTACAAGTGAAAATTAAATTCAAGAATGACTTATAAAGGCCTGAAGTACCATCTGTTCATGTTTCTCAGTCTAAAAAAAAGTGGTAGGGTCAGAAAATGAGAAATGTATGTTGTATTGTGCCCAGTTTTGCAAGCTGGAGCACAAAAACAGGTGAAGTGGCCTTTGGTGGAGGGATCAACTGTGACCTGATTCATGGGGCAACTTATAAAATACAACAGTCTTCACCTTTGTAAAGCTACCCAATGACTTATAACCCATTGCAAGATAGAAAATTGGTAGGAAAATTATGAACTACTTATACTTACAGGAGGACCAGCAGGACCACGAGCACCTTTGGGACCAGTAGCACCAATAGCACCCTGAAAAATGAAAATGAGGTACATTGGTATTGCTGGATGAAAATGGTCATGGGGAAGTGAAGTTTGAATGATTTAGAAAGCGACTCACAGCAGGGCCGGGGAGCACCAGTGGGACCACCAGATCCAGGAGGACCAGCATCACCTTTGGGACCAGCATCACCTTGTTCACCCTTGGCACCAGGTTGACCATCAGCACCCTACATGGAAAGAAAATGGAAGTCAGTAAGTCACAAATCTGGATAACTTTATGCATACATGCATGTATCTTTATATTATACTATATTTTTTATTAAGTTTTTTTTTTCATGTGTGTATTCAACATTGTCAAATTATAACTAAGTTCTAAGTTCACAGAATCATTTTAACAGTCATGGAATATTGCTTCATATTTAACAGTATTAGAGTGAAAAGTGGGTGACTAGTACTGCAGAAGCACAGGATCTGCAAAAAAAAATCCATATATTCTTTCAAGTGAGAACAATATACATATTTCCAGTAGCATAGTTAGTGCAAAGTTTGGCTTATGTTCAAGTAACTACTGGGAAGCAAGATCGGTAATTCCCTGGAAACTATTCTACCAGTATAACCCTACTGCAATTCCAGGCTTCACCAGCAGATTGATCTGCAGGTGAGTCTGCAACTGCGTTTACAGTAAAGATTAAGGTGCTGCAGGTAGAGGAAAGAGCACTAATGGGATTTACATTTGAAATTGGAATCCTCTATCATAATGCATTAGTCTGGTCAGAGTGAATATTTTGAGCAGACTTTTGAGTTGGGCCTTTTAGCAAGAACCAAAAGCAATGCATTTGCATCACTAAGTCTAGGGTGAAAGAATTGTTCTGCATACTGGTAATATTGACAGTGGAGTATGTACTCTATAAGATGGTTCTATGAGATGTTTAAATAGGAGCATTAAAGCAAAGTACTCACAGGAGGACCAGCAAATCCAGCAGGGCCAGAAGGACCGGGCTCACCACGCTCACCCTAAAGGAACAGTAAAGTGACCATTAGATGTAGTCATTTTGTCATGAGCCAAGAAAGCAGGTCAACTGAAGATATACTTACGGGAGCACCACGGGCACCAGTGGGACCAGCTGGACCAGAAGGACCACCTTCACCCTGCAAAAGAAGAGCATTGTTGAAATATTGTTCAGGGTTTGACTAAGGTAGGCAAGCCTCAACACTAAATCTACTTTTGACATAGCATCATAAGCAACTGTTATAAGGCTGGTCAATAGACAGTATTGAGCCAATGTATGAAAGAACTATTACAGGCCCAAGACCTACTCTTCTTCTACCAAAATGTGCTTTTGGAACAGAAATAGAACATAAATAGACAGTATTCCACCAAAAAAAAGATTTTGTTAACCATCTTTTTTCTATCCTTTGTCCTATGTAAAGTACAAATTGTCATTCCCAAGCTGGGTCTATTATTTTGCTACCATAATGAAGATACAACATTGATATCTTCATTGTATCAAACAATATTTTCCATATGTAAAAGATAGTGAAAGCCTAGTTTTCCTCATTAAATTGCATGACTAACTGAAGACTATATGATGATGATGATTGTGTGCTATATATGTTTATAAACTGGTTTAAATGGTTGAAATTATCATTATAAAATTTGGTTTTAAATGCAGGTTCCCTTGTAGGATCCTATGTAAAGACCAAAGACCAGTTTGTTGGGACACCTGCTTAGAGGTATAACTAAAAACCTCGGGTCTTGTGCTAAAACTTGTATTTGATGATCCTATTCTTGATTTGGCTTCTAATCTATAGGAGGAACATGAGAAGAAAAAAAAGTGGTGCTTTATTTTGTGTAGAATATAATGTCAGCATACAAGTGATGATCTACTAGGAGGAGCAGTTATGCTTAGGTTCCCTGACATCTGAAATGTGTACACTCTGCATACCCTATGTTTCCTAGCACCTGGTCAGTAAAATGAAGATTTCAAAAACTTGAGACTTTGGCAATTCAACTTACCTTGTCACCAGGAGCACCACCAGGGCCAGGAGGACCAATAGGACCAGTTAAACCTCTAACGCCATCTTTGCCAGGAGCACCATCGGCACCCTTAGGTCCTTGGTCACCCTACAAGGAAATAGAGGATAGTGTTGAGAGTTTGAACTGCAAGATAGGTTATATAGAGATGGGATTAGGGTCAAAGAAGAACAACGAGCACAAAAGAAAAAAAGTAGGATCAAGAGGTACAGGGACAATAGGCCAGGAGAAGAGACCAATAATGGCTTGAATGAAGAAAGGAAATGAATAATTAAGAAAGGTAAGCTTCATGTAAAAGGCTAACTATAATTGTAGCTCAGGTATCTGGCACTTACTCTGTCACCCTTAGCACCAGGCATGCCACCAGCACCACGTTCACCGGGCATTCCTTGAAGACCAGAAGGTCCTTGACCACCAGGGGCACCTGGAGCACCAGCTTCACCCTGATTTGAGAAAAAAAGGCATTGCTTAACTTGAAACCAAGAATGTATGTTATGCTCTAACAATATTGCACTGATGTACTAGGGCTGCCCATCCCATTGCTATGTATGAGATAAATCATTGTGCATAACTGAAAATAATTCTCTTGAGTTACAGTATGAATTACATTATTATTGATGTTCTGATTGATCCTATGTATGTAAACCTGTCTGAAGTATGTTCGGCCTACATGTGTGCTATGCCATGTGTCCAATCAGCAGTGCAGGTCAATATAACTCAAAGGCCTTAATACAATTATTTTACAACACAGTTAAGGTGAGGCCCAAATTACTAAACCTAATTTTAAGTTCCCTTAAATTTTTTGAAAAATCATTACTATTATCATCTCTGGAGAGATTAATGGTCTGCATAGAATCTTAGAAAGACCTAGGGAGTTTAAAGACTGAATCTGACTTGAAGTTGTGGGCCATAGCAACATTTTATTTGGAGGACAGGGCACAAACAGAGCCCGTTGGCAAGAGAAGACCAACTCACCTTAGCACCATCGTTACCAGGAGCACCGTTAGCACCACGAGGTCCCTGAGGGCCAGGGGGTCCAAGGGCACCACGTTCACCAGGGAATCCTCTTTCACCCTATAATAGATAAGAAAAGTGCTGTTGAGAAAGCAAGTATATTGAAGAAAGTTACACAAAAAGAAGTAATGGGAAGTTAAACTTATGGAAGTGGCCATATATATCTATTAAACTATACTCCATTGGTAATTGTTAGTGCTCATTATTGCACTTTTCTTTATATCGCATAGACAATAATAATTTAGAAAAACAAGGGTTCTTTTATTGAAGAAAAAAAAAATTATATGCATGATACAAATCTGTATATAATACAGAAAGCTGTCTTCTCTATGGTCACAGATTGGTGTGGTTTGTTGTTCTACCATTGAAGTTTTACGAAAGACTGAAGAAGGATAAAATAATGAGGCAAGAGGAAGCCTGTGATAAATTTTGTCACATTAGACATTTCTTATTATAGCCTTTTCACAAATTTAGGCCTGAACACATTACAGCTGGGCTAAGTACCTCTGTATAATCTAGGAGACCCGCTAGTAGATACCAAGGCAACATGTACCACCCCTAGATTGTCCCTGTTGTCCTCAGCTTGTTGGTTAGGCCCTTATTTTTTTTTATTTTATTTTCCATCATAATTGAAAAGAATAATAATCAGAGAGAAAAGTGCATTCAAAGGGATTTTTTTTTGCTACTATAGCACACGGGCCCCACAACTTAGTTTCTTTTGGAAAAGATGAAACAGCCATGCAATCTATGGTTTTTAAAGTTTTCAAATCTTTTATACTACTAATACAAAATCTAGCAGGTTGTTTTCCAGTGATTTAAGTCAGGTGTTCATAATCTGCGGGTCAGGACTGCACATAGAGTCCATGCTTCTGGGGTCTCAGGATTGTCATGTATCCTTAATCCTGATAAGACATTTTTGCCATGACTGTTAAGTGTCTCAACATAATGGTAACCTAAGACTTAAGAACCCCCCAAAAATGGCCAAATTTCATTTAGGACCTATCAAAATGGGGATGTCTCTCATTTAGTTTGTATATAGTTTACTTTCTAATAGGCTTCAAAATGGCAAGTAATATGTGGAAGGATGGAATACTTACTCTTGAGCCAGCAGGGCCAGAGGGTCCAACATCTCCGGGAACACCCTAAGAAGAGAGACACTCAGATTAATGTAATGTAATCAACTATAGCTTGTATAGAACAGGTATGAAAAAGCAAGGTGCAATCTACATATTATAAGGCTTAGCTTTAGAACCAATAGACCCTATGCATAAAAACTGCTAAAAATTAGAAATTGAGCTGTTTTCCACTATAATCATTTAGGTTATACCTTTCATTAATCTGTTGCAGGCAAGCAACTGAAATCAAGAGACTGGATTCAACACTAATACAGACAACCAAACTGTTATTTACTAGGTTGTAAATTAATACTTCAGCTGCAATACATACATTTGTTTCCTATACTGATTAATAGTTTGGCAGTTCAGCAAGGTAAATTCAGTTGACTCACCTGTTCACCGGGTTTGCCACTCTCACCAGGGGCACCAGGAGATCCAGAAAGACCCTAAAAATTTAATGAAAGAGTTATATCAAATCACAGTTAAGGCTTGTAATTAGCAGTAAGAGGATATTTAGTAAAAGTAATTGTCAATACAGGACATGTGTCTTCCAAAATCCATGTTCTGTTCTAGGATGTATAGGTGATTTTGTATTAAACGGTAAAGGTAAGTATCGGATGTGTAAAACATAAGGCAGTAGAGCATAGCCATAGTGTATGAATATGACATTTGAAGGTGTAATGGGGTGATTAGGGAGAATTCTACTGAAGATATTGTCTATATAGGTCAAGTGCAGACCATAGGGTCAACGTGAGGGACTATGTTAGCTGGACAATATTTTAGAGGCCTTGGAATATAGGAATATATAGTTTATGACAAGGTACTCACTTGGAATCCAGGAGGACCAGCAGGACCGTTTTCACCTCTCTCTCCAGCAGGTCCCTGCAGGGAAAAATAAAAATTCAATATATGTAGCTATGGGAAAAACCAGTATCAATAATTAATCAATAAGAAATAAAATAAAATTCTACTTACAGCAGGGCCAGGAGGACCTTGAGCACCACCTTCACCATCTTTTCCAGGTACACCCTAGAGCAGAAAACCAAGATTTATTATATAATTTTCAAATAAATATCAAAAGGACGAAAAAAAGGAATAGACCTACAATCCAACTGAACCTGTATTCTTTTAAGGAAGGCATTCTAAAGTTGGTATATCTTTGCTCGAGGGGACCAAGAATCAACCAAAGACACCACAACTTTCTAAGATTCCATTCTAAATAATTAATACCACCAATGATTGTTGGTAGCTAGTGCCATATAGGAAAGATTCTAGTGCTTTGGGTTCTTTTTCTAAATTAGATCAACATAGCAGAGATTCTGATATTCAGCAAGCATTATCTTGCAGGTGAGTCTTCCAGGTCCATGTGTTTTAAATGATAGCGATTCTCCACTACAGAATGTGATGGTGACAGTCACATTCATTTCTTTATAAATAGACCCCTTAACTTTTTCAGGAAAAACTATTTCAGTAATTTTTATTAGGTAAACAACATATTTGACCTAATGTAGTGAAGCTACCTTCCTAAGGCTTCACCTGCAGTATTATATATCACATGTACAGTGATACAAATAAAATATTTTCTTAAATTCTGCAATTCACACTTCCTTTATTCCTTCCCATTTATATGAGTTACCCTACAAATTCTAGGTCAAGAGGCCTAGATACTGTAGAGTGCATCTAATTTTAGAGAGCTAAAATTTAAATTATTTTCTGAATACTTACAACAGCACCAGGGGGACCAGCAACTCCTCTCTCACCAGGCTTACCAGGCTCACCCTGTGAAATAGGAAAGAGATGTTAAATTATTATGTGTAGTGGACATATATTCATTGTTGTAAAGTAGTAAAGATTTGGACTTTAAGAGAAAGAAGGGCAAATATTACATTATAGGGTCTTCAGATGAAGTGGATACTTACAGCTGCTCCCTTAGGACCAGGGAAACCCATAACTCCAGACTGGCCTCTGGCACCAGGTGGGCCGGGAGGTCCAGTGCGACCATCTTGACCAGGGGCACCCTATGCCAAAAAGACCAAAGATCAGAGAAACAGATCTATCAAATGAAGGTAAAGAAAAAATGCACAGTCCTGAAAGGAGAAGACACCAACTTACAGCAGGGCCAGTCTTGCCATCAGGGCCAGGGCTACCAGGGCTACCAGTCAGACCCTAGAAAAGAAGAGAAGAAAAGTTTTGACCTTTTGGCACCATTAGCTATAAAATTAAAAATGAATTTAATTAATCCTGTGTGAGTTTTCTCCAGGCCTAACCCATTCAGTGTCCTCACACAAATTATTGGGTTCTGTTGGTATATATCTGATTTACAAATTAGTTAAGGAAGTGTGTTTATGGAAATGGAAAACTCAATCCCCATCACCAGTTTTTAATAGCAGTGGTTCTAGGTATAGGTCTAGGGGTGTGTCTACTGTTTAGACTGTACTATGTGCAAAGGATGGTAATGTCCTGAACAAACACAGGAATCACACTGATGCAAGCAGGATTTAGAGAGCAAAATGGAATGGTCCATTTGCTTCTCTGTGGAACAGAGGATCCCAAAAAACAAGATACAGGTACCTAAGTATTTTTATGGCTTAATACTGCTTGTTTGTTTTGTCTACAGTTGGAGTAAGTGGGATGTGTAAGACCTATTGAGTACCAATAATCCAAGCCTCCATGTCACTCACCTTAGCACCAGGAAGACCAGGCTCACCAGGGCGACCAGATTCACCACCAGATCCTTTGGGACCAGCAGGGCCGACGGGACCACGTTCACCAGGAGGGCCCTGTATTACAGCAAGACAAATAATGGTTAAAAGTAATTAAAACCAATAATTAGACCTTAGTTCAATAAAACATTCCAGTCACTTGTCCTTGGAACCGTACTATGTTCTGCCTTCAACAAATGAGGCCAGGAAACTTTACCAGTAAGAAATGTAAAATGATATAACTATATAATATCAAATTTGTGATAGATAGTCAGATCAGGAATCAAATAAAAACGGATGTTTTCCTGTGTCATCAAATGTCTAAAACATTGTCCTGTCAGCTCAAGTTGTTGATTGTATAGGTGTCTCACCTTGGGTCCACCAGCACCATCAGCACCAGGGAAACCACGGCTTCCAGGGCCACCCTGTCAAAAGAAGAAGACATTGTGATACAAGTTCAAAGTGAGAATAAAATTGTGGCGTTATAGTAGTCAACATAAAATAAATGCAACCAGTGATAATAAAACAGTGTATGTTGTTGGCTTTAGCTAATAAGTAGCAATAATTGAAGGTTTGCATCCATATTTTGTATGCCATGAATGTTCTGTGTAAAAGCCGATAACATCTTCAAGGCTATATGAACCCAAACAAGGTCTAGGCAAAGGCTCATGTTTTAATGATAATGTTGATTTAAAATTCATATATTTGACAATATTAAACCATTATGGATGAATCCATTAGTAGTGTTATAAAATGCTGTGGATTTTAAAAAATATGAATCTAGTTAGTTGTACCCACCCAAAAATTGTACCTTTAACACTTCATCATTTGTTACTTTATCAACAACTGTGTCCGTACTATGGTTTGGTTTACATTAATATGTTGGAAATGTTTAGTTAACTTTGAACAGTTATTAATTTAAGGCCTGCTCTATAGTTAAGTAGTACAAGGAAGACTACAACCTTTATAAAGCCAACTACCACTGGAGACAGACATTTTGTGGGGATGACCAGCCTACCTATCTTCTATTGACATCACTAGTAACACCCATTAAATAACCACCCCCTAAGTAGGGCTAATCTATACAAAATGGGAAAGAGGAAAAAAAGAGGCATTACCCACTGCAGCCAACCAGATTTCAGCTGTCATTGTTCTGATGCAGCTTTATTAGTTGCTAGGGATGACACCTCCACATCCACCTCCATATTGCCCTTCAACTTTTATATGCCAGCTCTAGGTGTCTAACAAAGATCTTAACCCTAACCATGGAGTTGGTTTCTACATGTATTAGAAATAAAAATGGGGACTGACATTGTTTCTGTATAGATTTTCAATTAAGTGTTTTTTTTAGATTTAATTGAAAATCAGTGAAATTATCTGATTATAGAAAACAATATTGGAAGTATTCATGAACTCTGCTGCGAAATAAGGAACACCCAACAGCCAATGTCTTGACATACAGTATTGACATGCAGTTGGTTGGCATGGAAATATAGCATTTTTCCATCATTTGCTGTGCACCTGTTCTCATAAAAGCCCCCCGGGTATTATAGTTTTCACATGGAGCAACCAGCAGTGAAATTAGAATTAGTTGATAGACTCCATGGAGATCTGAATATACCCAGTGACTCCTGTTTGATATCTATTGCATTTAATCAGGCCATAGATTCAGTGACACATCCACTGAAAGATGGCTTTTGACAGTGTATGTGTTTCTCATTTCCTTTTCCCTAATGGGCATTGGCACAGTCAAAATTGTGAGTTTGGCAAATTTTGGTACTCACACGTTCCCCAGCAGGTCCGGGAGGTCCAGAAGGTCCGGGCTCACCACGGGATCCTCTCTTTCCTTCTTCACCAGGAGGGCCAGGGGGTCCTTGAGAACCAGATGGGCCCTAAAAAGAAGTGGAAAGGTTAAACAATGACTCCAAACGGCTGCAGTTTAGTCAACATGGGAGGATGTGGTAGATACTTACAGCTTCTCCCTTGGCACCAGGCTCACCCTTGTTTCCTTGAGCACCAGATTCACCCTAGAGAAGAGTAAACATAAAATATGTTTTTTTGTGATGAGCTGTAAAAAAAACTATCAAACACCAGTAACACAATATTTCCTATACTAACACTTGAATACCTCATTGATTATATACAGGTAAAATCAGGTCTAGAGGAACTAAGTATAATAACTAACCTGCTATTAATCAAGATCAATCATTGGTCATATAATAATCTGTAAACATGTGAAACATATTTGGGCTCCCAATGGCAAGAGTTCATGGGTGCCATAATTGTTTGTATTACTGCTGAACCTATTATCCATTACTATAAAATGTTCAAAAAGTCAATTCATGGATGTTTATGTGGAATACTTACATTGTTACCTTTAGGACCAGGAGAACCAACAGCGCCCTGAGGTCCAGGAGCACCACGGGCACCAGGGAAACCAGGAGCACCAGCAATACCAGGAGCACCCTACATGAGATAAGAACAGATTGGGTGTTAGCCTGATGAGGATGATTTTTGCTTGAGAAAATTACAAGTAGGTCAGGACCATGAAAATATATAGTAGGATAAAGGAAGACGAAACAGGAATAAGATAACAGAAATAACAGAATTTAGGATTTAACCAAAGGATAGGACAGGAAGTGCAGGTAGTGCCTGCTGGGTGATATGAATTGTTATATCATTTTATATACTTACAGTGGCACCCTTGCCACCAGGTTGACCATCAGTACCAGGGTTTCCCTGAAATGCAAGAGAAGATATCAGTCAATGAAGGTTCCCACATGATGCATCAGGAACATCTAGAGAAAGATGCCAAATCTACTTACAGAAGGACCAGAAGCGCCAGCTTGACCAGCAGCACCAGGTTCACCACGACCACCTTGGGGACCATCAGGACCACGGGATCCTTGGGGACCAGCATCACCCTGTTTGCCAAAAACATGGGTTATAGAAGGTCATGTAAAGAGTCACGAATCATAATATCTAATGTATGAGGTTAGTCTTGTGCTACCACAAAGTTCCTAAAGTGGTTTAGAAAAGAATATTGGAGTGAGTGGAAAAAGCTGCCCTATGTTGGATGACTTGGAATCCTCTCAAGTAAGACAAAAGTGACAGACATTAAACTGTGGGTATTCCACCTGCCATTGTGTTTATGTATGTCCAGAAGATTGGATGCCAAACACAACATAATATAAAATATTACCTTAGGGCCAACACCGCCAGGGAAGCCAGGTGGTCCAGATGGGCCAGTGGGACCCTAAAATCAAAAGAGGAACAATTTTAAATCAGGTATTGTGAGAAGCATTGCTTTTCACCCAACTATTGCAAGAACTAATACAAGTAACAATAATGCCAGCATTGAATCTCATCTGTTATTACAGAGGAACAGGTGGTAACACCTTGCTCCTTTAATTAGAATTTTAAAAACAATTGACCCTAAAATTCTGATATTGCCCATCAAGCAGTCCAAATAATAAGCCAATGATGCTACTTACAGGGGGACCAGCACCACCAGGAGTGCCATCATTACCACGAGCACCCTAAGAGGGAAAAGAAGAACAGTCTAATTAGTACCTTGATCATATACACCCCATAGCCCTCTAATTGCTGCAGGAAAGGTGGATAATATACTTACAGCAGGACCAGATGGGCCAGGACGACCTCTCTCACCAGGCAGACCACGAGGGCCCTAAAGAAGAAGAACAGATATTATTACTAAAAGCCAAGAACACAATACAACATCTTCAAACTTTTTTTCTATACAGCAAAGAAAATGAGCTGTAAAGGCAGCTATGGTATTACAGTGCTATGCTTACTTCCAAAGAAATGATGGATACTGAATCAACCATAGATTTAGGATTTTATATGGTTCAAAATTACAGGCCTTTTGTAGCCACTGCTATGCCTTTCAATCAATTCATTGGAAATACATTTTTCATCACAAATACAGATAGTGTGGGTTATAATTTTCATCAATATACTATTTGGAAAAATAGTTTTCAAAGTATATCAGGATTGGTCAAAGACAGCTGTACAGTGTACATACAGTGTAATGCCAGCATGTCTTTAGGCCTAGGTGTTGCTGGGAAGCATAACTGATCTAATGATCTTTGTAGGACCCAGAACGGTCTTATACCACTAGTACAGTAAATCTATACTCATGCCAAGTTTACAAGACTAAACAGGAGTTAGGCCTTAAGGTCTTAAGATTAATCAACATTTTTTAACAATGTCATTTCAAAATGAATTCTACATTTATGTTTTGTAGGTACTAGATATTACTTGTGCTTCTCTTATCCCTTTGGTGATGGTACCTATAAAGAAGTCTATACCATAAAGTATACTACATTCCTGCCTGACCTTTAAGAGGAACATGATCAAATACATTACACAGCTCTATTCTTTAAAATACTATTTTCCATTTATCTGTTACTGCTACCTTATCTATCTTATCAGTACAGGGTTCAAATAACAGATATTAGCTAAATGGATTGCTTCAAAGTAAAACTGTTACTCACCACTTGTCCAGGAGCACCATTCTCACCGGGGCTACCAGGCTCACCCTGAAGGAGGTGAAAAGAAACAGAGATCAGCACCTCCAATATATCGTCAGTGAGCCATAGTCCGTGTTTCACCTGTAGGTCAAACCTACCTTAGGACCAGCAGGACCGGAGTCACCCTTAGCTCCATCAAGACCATTGAAACCCTAAGTAGAGAGTAGAGGGTAAACATAAAATAAGATTTTGCCAATGCTACTGCATGACAACATTTCTGAACATGGAGGCAAGATGGAGGACTCACTCTGTGTCCCTTCATTCCTGGAAGACCAGCAGTTCCTGGGAGACCACGAGCACCCTATAAATGAAAAAGAATCAGGCCATCAGATTTGGAAGAACATTTAATCCTGAAAGGATGGATCATTGTTGAATTGACCACAATTACGTAAGACCAACAGTATCTATCTAAGTTCTAAGTTAATATATTCAATCACAAGCAAGTTTTAAAATTTGTACTATAACTATTAAAATTATTGGTATTAATAACAGTTTAAGCATTATATAATGAAGTGAATGTAATGGCATTTAGGGCCCATCAGTTATGGACACATATGCCAACATATATGATTTTTCTCCCCAGTCACTTGGATTAAAATAACACTACTCTCTACTAGAATATTACAGGATACATCAGCTTTAGCACATTTAAAACCATGTTCCATTTGAGTTTTACATCCTTTATTTTCTAAAACTGCAACACATAGCTTACAACCATGCATGACCTATAAGTGTGTTTCAGCCACAAGCTCAGGCCTGAAATATATTATATATATTTTTTTCTTTAATGTGATATCACACCCCCAACTTCTCTGCACCCCAGGAACAATCCTTCTCTAATCATACCATAACCCTACCAGATCTAAAGACCAACACTGAAGAAAGCCTAAAAGTGCTATCTTGTGATTCATCAAAAACCCACCAGAAATGACAATAATGTGTTTTCCAAAATGATGCGAAAACCTCTTACCTGTGGGCCTGGGGGACCACGCTCACCGGGACGTCCGGGTTTGCCAGCTTCACCCTTTTGGAAAAGGAAAATGAAAGTCATTAAGAATGTAGCTAGTTAAGTTCATAACCTAGTTAAGTGGTTAATCATTTTTTGAAATGTGTGTCCAATAAGCAGGTCTGGTACTTAAAAATACTGTACATAGTCTGACAGTGAGAATTACTGAGTTGTTGAGGCCTGGAACAGCAACTCAACTATCTAGGCCAGAGGAAGGTGACCTATAAGGCTACATGTACACTAGAACGTTTATTCTACTGGCAGCAGAAAACCCGCTATAGGTTCAAAAAATGCATGTAAACGTGGTATACCCGTGTTTAGCACTTGAATGTTTATTAGTTTTATTGGCCAGAGTACTTGCCGTTGAAATGACCAAAACGGCCAAGCACTAGTGGTTAGCACTTAGGTGTGTTTACATGTGTTTGCCATTTTTTGGCTAAAAGGTCTTCTCCTCAACGCGATTCTTCTGCGTTCAGAAGAGGATCTTTAACTGGCCCTAGACTCTGCTGCTGCTAAAGCTTTTATTGAGTTGAGTTCAGAGGCTTTAGCAAAAAAACATCAAAAGCTCCTAAACTCACATTTAGGAGCAGCAATGTGCATGAGGCCTAACTCTCTACTTTTTGAAATTCCCAGCATGGAGTGCTTCAGGTTATCAAAACTGAGAAGACAACATAGCACTTTACTGGTGTACCAGAGACATGTATCAATGGAATTCTGCTACATAATTCTATTTATACTAAGAGAATTATACAGTGTCTAATACACAATTGAGTAGATCAAATTTAGAGTGAACACGGATTGTCCAAGTGTGCCAATGTGCAAAGGATTAATATAAATCGCCTTCCTAAATAATTATTTGTCTTTTGCTAAAGTGTACATGTACCTATGGGCAAGGTACTTACATCTTCACCATTCTTTCCTGGAGGTCCTGGGGGTCCACGAGGTCCCATAGCACCCTAAAAACAACACAAAGGGATTCATTAGAAAAACTGTAGAAGCAAACCATTCACATTATAACCAGCTCAAATTGTTTTGTTAAGGAACTAAGCATTTAAACATATATTCTCTTAGGAAAACATTTTTTAATGTGATTCTACATACCTAAAGACAATACTATAGAGGGATTAGCTGATAGAGATCTTGTAACAATGGAAGTGGACAATGTAGTTATCCAAGAAGATCAAATGATATTAAGCTACAGTACATCTCATGGTACTGTATAATTTCATTTTACAAGATGCCGTTTGGGGGGAGAATCCTTAAGACTATACTAGCCCACTCTGACCATGGAAAAATGATTTTTTGCCGCATTTTGCGTTTTCCTGCGACCAGTGGTCAAAGCGTTACTATCCTGACAGCAATTCTTCCCATTCAGGAGAGGGAGGTTTAACCTCACCTAAACACAGCAGCTCCTAAACTCTGCTAAAAGCCTATAGAATTAATTTATTAAAGGCAAATAGTCTGTGCGCTGCAAGTGCACTTCAGGTGTGGTTGCTCTAGACCTGAGGGGAAGCTCTGAAATGAAAGGATGCTCTACTGATTTCAATCAGCCAATCATGTGAAGCTTTACCTCATTTACTAAGTTCTGGAGCAACTGCACTATCAGTGCACAGTATATTTCCCTTTAGTAAATCAAGCCCTATGTGTAAATGGACACACATAGGGGGTTTTTTAATAAAAACTGGAGAATGCAAAATCTAGTGCAGCTCTGCATTGCAACCAATCAGCTTCCATGTTTTTTATTATCAATACTTAATTGAACAATCTGAAGTTAGAAGCTGATTGGCTACAATGCACAGCTGCACCAGAATCTGAGTGCACTCATTTCAGTAAATCTCCCGCATAGGCTTTCATGGAGTTGAGCTTTGGCAAACAAAAAATGCCCAAAGCTCCTAAACTCAAGTTTAGGAGCTGCCAGTGTACTTGAAGTCTAAGGATTAGCCAATGGTTGGAGTATTTTAGAAAAAAATCTGCTGGCAAGCATTCCATATATGTAAAAAACAAATGTATATATTTATTATTATATAAATTTGTCAAATAATGTAGAATGCACTTTATACTCTTTGTAAACATAGCCCTCAACTTTCTGTGTTGCAAGTGAAGGCTTGCAGTGACAAGGCCTACTTCATCGTCAGTAAAAGAGCAACTGAACTCAAACTAGTCAACGACTAGTCAAATCGGTGCACCCTACCATATTATGACTTTCTGACCAGCTTTTAATAGTCACTAATTTATACAAAAAGATCAAGTAAATGTAATTAGCTGAACCCTATTGGCTAGCTTACTCTATCTCCTAGATTGTAAGCTCGAAAGAGCAGGGCCCTCGAACCCCTCGTGTATTGTTTTGTTACTGTATTGTCCCATGTACTGTCCCCCACTATAATGTACAGCACTGAGCAAACCTTTTGGCGCTATATAAATACTGTATAATAATTATTATTATTATTTCCCATAATGCCCTGGTGTTGAAGACATGTGTTGCAGATTGAGCAACTCCACTGCCCACTAAGTAATTATTAGGCCAAAGTACGTAATGGCTGTGATCATACATGAGTTTATTCAATTCCTATATAAGTGTTTGATTGGACTTTAATATTTACTTTAATTATGAAAAGGCCTGTCTGTGAATTTCTGAAAACAATGAGATCATTTACAGGGGCAAGGGTAGAATTATGGTTGTGTTACAAGACTTTTACTTAATCTGTCATATATTAAGTATAAGGATGTTCTAGAAATTCAAAATACAGTATAAAATTTGAAATACAAGTTTGTAATTTAGTTTGCCTAGGAAAACAATGCAATTGGCTTTGCTTTTTTTTCAGGGGTTGATTTTGGCCTCTTGGAATCCTCACCCCACCAATGTGATTATGTATAAATTTATGTCATAGAGGTGGCTTGACTATTGTTGGTAAAGAGCTGTGAGGCCTGGTGATTTAAATGTCAGAACATAATTAAGAAGGTTTCACTCCTAGAATAATTCTGGAAAAGTTCTAAAGAGCTGTGGTGATAGGCCTTCAAAAACAGAGGAAAACTTTATTTCTCAAAAAGGTTGAAATGCATTATAAGATGAAGCCTATTCAATTCCACAGTAAACGGGCTTTCAGGCCTATCACAATGTTGAGCTTCACCAATAATAGGATAGCATAGCTAACCTTGAGCAAGAAGTCTTAGGCCTAGCCTTTCCTTTTTTTCTGTCTCTCAACAGCTGGCCAATGCGAAGGCTATGCAGGTGGACAAGGTGTACACACAAAAAGTCAAGTACAGTGCCCAGGTAGAAAGGATCAAAAACACTCACAGCAGAACCAGGTTCACCAGGTTCACCAGGGGGTCCTTGGAAGCCTTGAGGTCCCTTAAGAAGGGAAAAAAGACACATGCCTATAATCATGACCATATATTTACTAGTGTTTAGAGCCTACTAAGATGCACTGTCAATAGACTGACCATTAAAAGTAAACTGTTTTAGCAATGGTTTAAGTTGTCATTTCAGTAGTGTATAACCAAAAGAAGATTCTCTTACCATGGGGGCCGGGCATGGAGACACCAGCGGATTTCTCATCATAACCGTAAGACATTTGAGGAGCAAAGTTCTACAAGGTAAAAAAGAAGGCACACCGGTTAGAAATGAACATAGATGACCTGCAATGGGTGGCATAAACATTTATAAACTGGACAGATGGACTACTTACTCCGCCAAGGCCAGGTGGTCCAGGTGGGCCTGGGGGTCCAGGGGGACCATTTTGTCCAGGAATGCCATCTCTGCCAGGTGGGCCAGCTGGTCCCTGTTGGATTAAATCAAATGTTCTTTAATAAATGGAAATACATTATATTATCAGTGGGCAGAGCTATGAATATATATGTAAAAATTATTGTTAGCTCTAAACTCCAAATATTTAAAAAATATCTAAACCTGGAGAAAGCAAGTCTCTGAGGGGTGCACTTGCTTTGTAAATCTACTAAGATCACAATTAAAAAATATTCATTCTTGTACACCCTGCAGTCTTATTAAAAACTTTTACTGAAAAAAAGTTTAGATATTCTAAAGATGACCTTTAATTTTTAAGGGGTGGTCTAATGTAAGCCACCTTACACCTGACCATGTGCTTATACCGTGGATACAAAGATGACCACATAGGCAACCTACGCAAGGTTAAAGTATATGTAGGCCCGATCACTGATACCTACCCTGTCGCCTCTTGGACCAGTTTCTCCCCTGGGTCCCTGGAAGGAGATAAAAGAGAGATGGAATTAAACACAAGCAAAGGAAATATGTGAATATCTGTCTATCGATCTATCCAAATTTAAGAATGACTCACCTCAACAACAGAGCCTGTCTGGTACTGACCTATGAACAAATGGAAAAGGGTATTGCTTAATAAAATACCCTGTTAAAGCAACCAACCAATACTAAATCACATCACTAATAAGGCCACGCCCCTCTTATGCATGATTAAAAAACACTGGTAGGCTTTTTAGTACTTACCTTCACCGCACACAGGGCAGCACTCTCCCATTGGGATCTCAGGGTTGGGGCAGTCACCAATGTCTTCACAGATCACCTCATCGCAAAGGATAGTTCCCTCATCACAAACACAGATCTGGCAGGGTTCGGGTTTCCATACATCTTTGTCGTTATACGTTCTACCATCAACGGTGCACCCTGAAGATCCGACTGTGGGAGAAAAGGGTCATCATCATTTAATGACTAGGTTCCTATACCCCTGCATCCTACAAACATGTCCAGGACAAGCAACTGCCTTGACCTATAGGGAATGCACAAGGTTGACCTTCTTTTTAATACCAGATTATTGGGAAACACGTTTGATTTAATCGGACCCCTTTGAGGCCAAGGGCAAAAGGGTTAACACCATTGAAGATACAGCTGGTTTTTTTCATGTTTCTGAGCAACATCTGGTTTAACAGTAAGAAAAGAGGAGGAGGGGGGGGGGGTTGAAAAAAAAAAAAAAAGATCATCTGGTTCCCATCAACCAGGCTCACTGACAAGAGTGGAAGCTGCCAAAGTTCTGTGAGTGGGAGGAGGAAGGAGAAACGAAATATTTTGGAAGCAACTAAGGTTTTCCAGGCTAGGGTCTTTTCCAAGCCCAAGTGCATCATTATTGCTTGCTGATCCGAGAGGGACAAAAGAGGGAGGAATAATGTAGCCCTGGAGAGGGAGGAGAGAGAACATGAGAAGGTGAAAAGGGTTTGGGGTGGGAGTAGAGGCTTGTGCCGTAATCTAGCAAAAGGAGGAGGAGGAAGAACTTGTGGCTTGTGCAGCTGGAGATGTGCAGGACGAGACACGCTCAGGTACCAAAGGAATGTTAAAAAAGACAGAAAGGATTGTTTCCAAAGCATATAAATGACAGAGATGGATAGAGTGCCCCAAGCAACAATAAAGAACCTGACCCTAAAAAGAAAAAACTCAACAGCTTAAAACATTCCAGCCATAGCTGTGCTAAAGTATTCCAAATAATAAAGATTTTGCATTCTAAAGACATTTATTTATTTATTTCAGGTACTTATATAGCACCGTCAATTTACGCAGCGCTTTACATATATATATATTGTACATTCACATCATGTAGGCTATATCAGCATAGCACATTGTTGCACCGGCTACGAAAAAAGGGGTTCACCACACCCAAAACAAATATGCAACCCCATATTCTCCCACAAGATGAAAATTATTTCTTGCTGACAATATAATAAAAAAAATTGCAACTGAGATTGCAATAAATAATATTGTATGTTGTATATACTGCCAACAATTTTTTATATTGTTGGCAGTATACATCCTAGAAATATAGCAAAAGTCTTAAAAAAAAGGTTAGAATTTTGGTTGCAAATCTAAAAATGTAAAAGTGAACTCAATTGTAGAATTAAAAAAAAAAGAAAAAAAGATGTCAGTTCAAACCAACAAGCAAGTGCTATTGTCCGGTTGTGCCCCCACAACAATGGCCGTAAAGTATCATCTGCAGCCACCAGGTGGCAGCAGTGTGATACCAGTGTGGACCAATATGTAAAATTAGCATCCCGATTCTTGAAGTTCTGAAGTTATGTCTAGACATTTTAAAACTGGAATCTGTTAAACATCCCTCGGTGAATCACTCCTTAGCATGTTTTATGATCCAGTACACCCCCTCCCCAACCACCACCTGATGACTTTAACAGAATGTAATGAAAACCACATGCATTGCTGTATTCTGCAAACCCCCTCTTTTTTTCCTAAAGCAATGTAACCATGAGATAATATGTTTTTAATAAAAACACCCTGCGTTAAATCATACAGAGGAAAAGGCGATTACAAAGACCCCTCCCCTTTATTTTTTTTACCCCCCTGCAAACACCTCTGCTAAGCACATTGTAACCCAATTAAACCATTTCTGTCTTCCTATCAAGACAGCTTATCAATTTTTTTCCCCGCCCTGCATTAAATTACAGACCATGTGACTTATTTGAGACCCAAAGTAAGAATGCTTAAACCATGTTTCTCATGCAAGCAGGATGCAGCTACAACCTAAGTACAAAAAAAAAAAAAAAAAAAAACATTTTGCAACTTTTGGCTATGTGTTGTGGGACTGCAAGTGCTAGCATGGCTTTGCATGCTTGGCACTTGCAGAACTACAATGACCAGACAGTTCTATTGTCATAAAAAGACAGTTGAGAGATGCTGGGCAACAATACCCATGTAAGGTGCAGCTGGTACTCGTATGCAAATGATCTGCCCAGCTGACCAATGGCTGGTCACACCTGAAAGACAATGGAAACCAAAAAAAAAGTGTACTTACGGTCATCTTCTCCTTGACATTTTGCTACTAGGATTGTTGCTGCTATTACTAGCAGTAATCGTGTATCCACAAAGCTGAACATGTCTAGTTTCTAGACATGTAGACTCTCTGTGGTCCTGGTTCTGTTCTTCTTAGGTCCTAGTCATACAGGGGTAGGTTTTAGTGGTATAGTTCCAATGCAGACCCCAGCAGAAACTTCCTACTGTGTCTCAGCTGGACCAGACCCCCTTTTTATATCTACCCACCACTCCAGAGAGGTGGGGTCCAAAGATCCTTGCTCTCTCTATACTTTTTTTTTTTTTTTTTTTAAGGTTGGAACAACAGCTGGTCCAGCCCTTTAACCAATACTAAAACTCATACACAGACTCATAAGAGAGAGAGAGGAAAAAAAAAAAACTTCAAACAAAGCCAGCCCCTCCCTTCAAAGAATAGGAGCCTCTGCAACCCTATGCACAGACCAAAAAAAAAACTGCATACATTTCTGATTGTAATAAAACTTAACATCCATATTTAAATAATAATTCTTGTTTTGGAATACGGGACCTTTGTAAAGTAGTGCACAAAACTTTTCTAAATGTGTTAAAAGTGCCTCATTTTTTGGATGTCTTTTGACAGTTTGCAAAAAAAAAAAAAAAAAAAAAAAAGGTTATTTTATTATAATAGTTATTACAGGCATTAAAATATCCATCCACAAAGTCAAACCCATTTTATAAAAAAAAAATATTTTATTTTTTTATTTATTTTTTATTTAATTTATTTACTTTTTTTTTTTAAATTAAACTGTGTTTTTGTGTCTCTATATACATTTGCAGATGATGCTGAAACAAACTATAGATTCAAAATATTCCAAATTCCAAAAGCTTTTTGACTGTATATTGCAAACTATTAAAGACCTGCTAAAGTTTGCACATACTTTTTTAAGGTGAAGGTCTAATAATGAATAAGGTGTAATAGAAATAAATTTGAAGCAAGCATAATATAATTTTTTTGGTTTCTTAATTATTGTAACTTTATTATCGCCAATTATAGTTATAATTATAATAAATTAAAAGACATGTGATGTTTTATTGCATTGTGCAGAAAAGTCTGGTCTTTGCCTTTAACTCTTTTGGCTAAAACCCACATTTGTTTCTGTTTAAGAAAAGCCACGTTGGAAGCACTGCAGTGATATATGAAATATGTCATTTTATTTCTACAGGCAGCAATTAGACTTAGCAATATATACTTAGCAGGAGGGTTAGGAGTACACAGGCTGGTGAATGAGCTGTCTTTAAGGCAGGACAATGATATAGAATTAATGGAGGTTTTCTGGCTGTGCCTATTTTTGTAATTCCGCTTAAAAAAAAAGTGAATATCTTAAAAAAAATTATCTTAAACTTTTTTTCACTTTGCCTCTTGCAACTATAACCTTGTTAGGTATGCATTTATCATAGGCATATATATTTTAAAATGCATTAATATTTTAACGATGTGACTTCATGTTATACAAAAATTGTATATTGTGTATCTATTTATTTTTATATATTTCATTATTTTATTTTTTATGAAATATTCTGTAAAGGTAAGTCAACCGTGATCCCACTTATATGGATGCTACCAGGTTGTTGTACACACTGGCCCTTTATATGCACTAGGCGCTTCATCGGTCAGAGCTCCTTTTTTTCATGGTCCAGACTCTCACCTGCCATGGAGTCTTACTCCCAGCACCAAATGTTTTTATACTGTAATATGAATAAAAAATTGAGCCGATATAATTGGACCGCCAACTAATAGCTGTGGTGGTTGGATAGCAGGAAATAGAGGTGGATAGACCCTACATATGGATTGCCTAAGATAGCCTTTCTCAACCTCCCTACCCTTAAAAAAATTTCCAGGTCTCAGGGAACCCCTGATAAAATTAATTCATTGGGGTCATTGAGAAAATTCCCCTTACTTTGTTCGTCAGTGGTAAGAAAGCCTCCCTTATAGTAGTTGTCAAAATACCACTGTTACAGACAGCTCAAAAAGATCATTGGCATCATGTCCTTGGCTATTCCAAGTGGCATTGGCCTCAAAACTATGCAGGCACCATCAGATGGGAGGTCAGGCAGCCACAGCTCAAGGGAACACTAGCAACCTCTGGAGGAACCCTGGTTGAGAATGGCTGGTTGGCCTTGCAACTATAACCTTGTTAGATATGCATTTATCATAGGCATATGACTTTATAGTTTAATGATGTGCATTTCATGTTATATAAACATTGTTTATTTTGTATCTATTTATTTTTATATATATTTTATTATTTTATTTTTTATTAAATAATCTGTAAAGGTAAGTCAACCAAAATGATACCACATATATGGATGCTGCCAGGTTGTTGTACACACGGGCCCCTTATATGCATTGGACGCTTCATCGGTCAGAACTCCTTTCTTCATGGTCTAGCATCTCACCTTCAATGGGGTCTTACTTCCTGCACCAAAATTTTTTACATTGTAAAATAAATATAAAATTGGACTGCCAACTCATGGTTGTGGTGGCTGGATAGTTGGAAATGCAGGTGGATAGACCCTACATACGTATTTCCTAAGATAGTTTTTCTCAACCTCTCTGGGTCTCAGGGAACCCCTGATAAAACTAATTCATTGGGTTCATTGAGAAAATGCCTCTTACTTTGATGGTTGGTGGTAAGAAAGTCTCCTCACAGTAGTGGTCAAAATACCACTGTTAAAGACAGCTAAAAAAAAATAATTGGCATCATGTCCCTGGCTATTCCAAGTGGCATCCAGTCAACTACACCTCAAGGAACCCTTAGCATGCTTTGGAGTTAACCCAGTGCCCAGTCCAATCCAACAGCTTTTGCCCAGAAATGTTAGTTTTAAGGGAGTAGGCCCTTAAACGATGCTTAGGTAATTAGACACTGATTTCTTAATAAAAAGGGTATTTATATATCCAAATTTCATTCAGAGCTACCAGTAGGCAAGGCCATGCATGTACTGCTGCATGTACCTGGAAGTGTTTCCTTGGTCCCCTCTTTATAAGTTATAAAGCTGTAGCAAGCGACAAGGTGATAGTCCGAAGCAAGGGGTTGATCAGATATTTGTTAACACACCCAGGAACAGGGGCGAACTGACAACTCATGGGGCCCCCAGGTAATAGGGGATCATGGGGCCCCTATGTCCTCACCCACACTCAAACCACACCCAAAAAAGCCTAAGAAAGGTACTAGGGGCATCTCATGGGGCCCCCTACTGACCCTGGGCCCTCTGGCGGTGCCCGAGTGCATGAATGGTCAGTCCGCCCCTGCCCAGGAATTGCACAGTCATCAGTATTTATATCAATGTGTTATCTCTGAGTCAGCATCTCAGTCCAGGAAGTAGATGCTGATGATGCCAGACTCTTCTGCCATCTTCATAGTGAGATTTTCATCTATCACTTCCAGATATTATTTTATTCATTGCAATCACATGGCATGTAATTCAGTAGAAGAAGAGTGACATCTTTGCTGAGATTTGTCATGTTTTCAGCAGAAAGAGAAGCCAAGAAAAGGAGGTGGAGGTTTCTCCACAGGGGTCCCTCAGTAACTTAATAAGGTGACCACCAACGTTCACCAACATTGACCCAAAAGTGAAATATATCAGTTCTTAGTGGCATACCCTTTATATAACCCTGTCACAAACCCGGACAAGTAAAATTGATTATATGATAAGGAACTGTATAAGAAGGGGTGACCTACAGCAGCATTTCAAAATAATCAGAAGATCTGAAAATATAAACAATTGAATTTGTCTCCAACTTTCCACTTTTCCTTTTAAACTGGTTCATGCTAGAGAACTTGGATCGGTCCATAGTTGTGGTTGGGTGATTGTGTGGGCAAAAAAGGAAGAGGTCCCATTCCAGTAGGTGGTGCCCAATGGTGGATAGTGATAGTGGACCTTCTTGGGGGCTCGAGCTGCTAACTTTTCTGATATGGCCTGTTGGTCGCTTCAGCGAGAATTCTTCAGTAGGATAGAAGTTGCGCCCCAGCACCCCTTCTATCCTACCCAACATTTTCTTTGAACAGTACAGAGGCATGTGAGAGGGAAGAGGGTGAGGCCAAGCTTGAGTTTTGTAAAAAAAAAGTAAACGAAGAACTGTGTAAGCAAAGGTGAACTTCAACTATAGCGACATTTCAAAATATTCAGGAAATCTGAAGGTATAAGCAGTTGAATTTGTCTCCAAATTTCCACATTTTCTTTTAAAGCCCTTCACCTTAAAATACCATTATAGAGGCATGGGAGAGGAAAGAGGGTGGGACCTAGCTTGACTTCAAGATTTGCATACAATTTCAGCTGCTTATATTTCCGGTCTACCAGTCATTTTCATGTATGGTTTTCACAGGAGGTACAGCTTGAATGGTCAAGGTTTGTACCAGGTAACAATAAGCCAAGATGACTTGTGATACTGTTTGGTACGTAATTGAATATTCAAACCTAATGAAAGTTTGACCACGAACTTCACAAAGCTCCCCCCCAATGCACCTTGTCCCCATGTTAATCATGTTAATGGGGACAAGGGCCTCCTCCCCACTCCAGGGCCAGGGGCCCTGTGGTTGTGTGGGTCTGTGGGTGGGGGGGCTTATAAAAATCTGGAAGCCCCAGATCCCAGGCCTCCCCCATGTGAATGAGTATGGGGCACATGGTACCACTACTCATTCACAAAAAAAAAAAAGGTAAAAAATTACAATAGAAAGTCATTGACAAGTTCTTTATAAAAGCAACAAAAATATGAAAAAATGTCCCACCCAAAGTAGACTCAACATCAATCACGGTGCCCGCTGCCTCCACCAACTTGAATAAAAAAAAAAATAACAAAAAAGGCTCCACTCTCGACTCTGGCTCCCACTGTCTGACAGCTCCACGGGCCTGACAGTTCTAAGGGGTAGGGCCACCCAGTGATGTCAACATGCCGCGGTCAATGATGTCACAAGGGGGCGGGGACAATTGTGATGTGAATGGCCAAAGCATTGCACCTGACCTGTGGTCAAGTGCATTGTTTTGGCCAATCACAATGCACTGTCAGAGCGCAGTGCATTTTGGGGCGCAGTGGACAAACAGCCTTACC